TGCTAAGAAGATTGATTCTGATTATTTGGTGCATTCATATGGCATTATACCTCAGTTAAAGTGACCTTGACAACCTTAACAAGTTTTAAGATCTGCATGCCATTTATGTTAGTGGATTGTTATTGTTTGGGTTACTTTGATATTCTAGTGTTTAAGCAAGGGCATTGTTCTCTCATGTTTAAATAAGTTTCACACATGTACCAATTTTTTTTCCCTTCATTGGTGTAATTTTGTTTTCTGATCCATACCTTTGTACAATCTTTTGTCATTAAGATTTCTTGAGACTGAAGTATTGGAAAAAGTAATGATGGCTACCATGGTCCCAATGTTGTAATTGTAGGACAAATCACCAGAAAATCTTGAAGGAGTTGGTGCATTCCAAAAGCTACCCATGGTGATGCCATCTGTTGACATTCTGTATTCTGCACTAAGAAAGGCTAAGAGGATTTCACCAACAAAGGGTATTTGTTATGGGCATGTGTTTTAGATCAAAATTGACAGAACAGCATTAGATTCAAGTCGGATGGAACTTGGTTTATAGGACCTGCTGCTAGCCCTGATTTTTAATTTCTTTATATTGCAGGTATTGCCAATATTGCAAAGCGGGAAAGAAATAGAGGTGCAAAGCAACTTGATGCATTGATGAAAGTTTGTTCTCAACTTTAGTTTGTCATTTTATTATATTTTCTATTGTGATGTTTTTATATGATTCAATGATGACTGACTAGCTTTCTTTTCCACCTTCAGGAATTAGCAGTACCCTTGAGAACTTATTCAGAGAATTTTCCAAATAAAAAGTATCTTCACCCTTATGAGCGATCTCTTATTGAATTAACTCTTGGGGATGGAAATTATGAAGAGGTATATCCTGAGAAAATTGTGGCCAATTTCCACTCGGAATAACTTGAGGATGTTAGTATAATAAAAAATTGATTGAAATAATTTTTTTCTGTAGTAAAAATATGAGTTTTATTGGTATTTTCATGTTTCCTTTTACACTAACAGAATGCAGACAGGTATAATCTTTTAGACCCTTTTCAACTTATCGTACTTCAACTTTTTAATTTGATAATTACAGGTGTTGGGAAAGGTGGATTCTCTGAGGAAAAAGGTTGTGTCTGTTGGAAAGGAACATGCATCTCTTTGTGCTAAGGTAGAAGTCTTGGTTTTTTAAGCTTTATGATGCAATACCTGCTTCAAGCTTCTTATCCCCTTTTCATTTATTAGCTTTTTGGGGATTACTTGCATCTTCTGTTACCAGAAACACAAACACTGCATTCTATGATTACTTTATGAATTTTACTCTTCCATGTTTAATTTATATCTATAATACACTCTTGAAGGTTCCTATCTGAAAAAAATAAAAATAAAAATAAACTCTTAAGCTCCTATCGAAGAAAAAAAAGCTTGGAATTAATTTTTTTTATTGATTTTGAAGACGAAAGATTTTAACAAACTCTCATATACACTGTGGCAGTCATTGTCGAAGAAAGAAGCAGAGGAAAGGCTAACTGAGGTTATTTCTTATCTTTAGCCAAAAAGAAACCTCCATTCCATCTGTGTAGATTTTTACTCTCTTAACTGTATCTACAGGGCATAAAGAAAGTTGAAGAGACATTTAATCGTGGAGGAAAACATGTCGATGATTTGTTACACATAGCCAAGGTACTTTGCTTTCTGAAATTGGAGTTCTATAGTGGCTTTTGTTTTTCTTTATTGATTCTTTTCATTCAATTTTAAGGAATGCATGCCATGTATCATGTATTATGATGGTTTAGTAACTGTTTAGATTTTTCAACGCACTTTTGATGTACGTGCATGTGTGTCTGTGCACCTGGTCTTACACCTTACACCAATAGAGTTGAATATTCTATGAAAACTTAGGTCAGTCAAATATGTTTCATTCAATTTACTTTATTTTAAGACACTGGAGGAAAATTTTATTTAAAGTTCTTTTGGCCAACAAGATGTTTTAATATATTATTTTTAATCCATGAACTTTTGTATCATATTTCAGTTGTCTAAATTTTCATACTATTTGGCTGCTTCTTACTTTTTCAGTCAGTATAACCTATAAACAACTTTCCTATGGATCCATGCCTTGTTTAGGAGTGCACTTTGGGACCTATAACGGTTGTTTTTTACAACTCTGATTTGTTGTGTGATTATTGAGTTTTTTGTTTTGTTTTGGTAAGGCCATCTCTTTAAACCAGTTATATTTGCAGACTCTGCGAGCAATGCCAGTAGTTGATCTAGAATCACCGACACTTTGTCTTGTCGGAGCACCGAATGTCGGGAAGTCATCTTTGGTCCGCATACTCTCCACAGGGAAGCCTGAGGTGTGCACAATTTCAATTTTCAATGACAAAGATGATATTTTGTTTTGTATATGTGGTTGGCTAATCGATAGTCCATTCTTGAATGGGTTGAGCTTATGTTGCTGTATGAAGCATGAAAGACTTGTTTTCTTTCTTTTGATTGTTTGTAGGTTTGCAACTACCCTTTTACAACAAGAGGAATTCTGATGGGTCACATTATTTCAAACCATCAAACTTTTCAGGTGGCTCAATATCTCTAATATTTAGAGTCGAATATATATATTTTTTATTTTTTATTTTCAATCTTAATTTTGTTATATGTATAAACTGAGTGCAGGTGACAGACACTCCTGGGCTGCTCAAGAGATGTGATGGTAAGTGACTGGCATTTATTGGTTTTAATTATGTCATTTTGAGGGATGCTTTCTTGGACTACAGTGCTTTGCATGAAAAATTTCATATTTTTTTTCTTTGGTGTTTCAGAGGACAGAAATAATCTGGAAAAATTGACGCTTGCTGTGCTCTCACATCTGCCAACGGCAATACTCTATGTCCATGACCTCTCTGGACAATGTGGAACCTCACCTTCTGATCAGGTTTTTTTTCTTCTTTTTTATAGTTGAATCGAGAAGTAGTATGTAAAACTCAAAAAAGAAAAATAGTATTGCAGTGTTCACATACCGGATGCGCATACGGGTTCGATACCCTAAACCCTAGTTGATACACACAGGGTACGGCTTGGTATACGGCTGACAAAGAAGAAGAAGAAGAAGACACGGGAGAGAGAGATGGAGAGATGGGAGAGAAGAAGGCGATGCAGAAATGAAGACAACATATATATATATATATATATATATATATATATATATATATATATATATATATATATAT